TTATTTTATTTTATTTTATTTTATTTTATTTTATTTTATTTTATTTTTTTTAATTTTTTTTCAACGTTTATTTTATTTTGGGGACAGAGAGAGACAGAGCATGAATGGGGGAGGGGCAGAGAGAGAGGGAGACACAGAATCGGAAGCAGGCTCCAGGCTCTGAGCCATCAGCCCAGAGCCTGACGCGGGGCTCGAACTCACGGACCGCGAGATCGTGACCTGGCTGAAGTCGGACGCCCAACCGACCGCGCCACCCAGGTGCCCCTTTATAAATTATTTTAAAGAGAAAGAGAGACCAGGAGCAGGGGAGAGGGGCAGAGAGAGAGAATCTTAAGCAGGCTCCTCACTCAGCACAGAGCCCAATGCAGGGCTCTATCCCACAACCCTGAAATCAGGACCTGAGCTGAGATCAAGGGTCAGATGCTCAGCTGAGCTATCCAGGTATCCCTATGGCCAACTGATTTCTGACAAGAATGCCAACACCATTCTATATGGAAAAGAATAATAATTTCATTAACGAACGGAAACTGGATATCCACATGCAAAAGAATGAAGTTGGACCCCTACTTCACTCCATATACAAAAAATTAACTCCAAATAGATGGGTTCCTTCAGTTTAAGAACTAAAAGTACACGATTAATACAAGAAAACACAGGGGTAAATCTTCACGGCTTTGAATTTGTAAACGGATTCTTGGATTGGATGGCAAAAGCACAAGCAATAAAAGAAAAAATAAATTGGACCCGATAAAAATCAACGGCCTTAGTGCGTCAGAGGACATTATCGAGAAAGCAAAAACGCAACTCACAGAACAGGAAAAAATATTTGCAAATCGTGTATTTGATAAGGGCTTCATGAGCACAATATATAAAGAATTCTTCCAACTCAACAACAAAAAGGACAATCCAATTATAAAATGGACAAAAGATGTGAATAGATGTTTCTCCAAAGAAGATCCACAAATGGCCTGTAAGCACGTAAAAGGGTGTTCGACATCTATCAGTAATTAAGAAAATGCAGATAAAACTGCTACAAGATACCACTTCACATCCACTAAAATGGAAAAAAACAAAGACAAGTGTAGGTGAGGATCTGGAGAAAGCGGGAAGCTTCGTTACAGTGCTGGTGGTAATTTAAAATGGTTCGGCTGCTGTGGAGAAGAGTGTGGTGCTTCCCCAGAAATGTAAACAGAACTGGCGTATGACCCAGCAAGTCCACTCCTAGGCACAGATGTCCACGTAAAATGAAAACATATACCCACATAAAAGCTTGCACACAAATGTTTGTAGTGACATTATTCATAACAGCTAAAAGGTGGAAACAACTCAAATATGCATCAACGGAGGAACAGATACGTTGTGATGAATGGATCGACAAAGATTCCACAAAATGGACCATTATTCGGCCATGAAATGGAATTAAGCAGCGACACATGCTGTACCTTGAATGAACCTGAAAAACATATGCTAACTGAAAGCAGCCAGAGACAAGAGGTCACATGCTGTGATTCCTTTTACACAAAACAGTCTGAACAAACAAATCCATGGAGACAGGAAGCCGCCCAGCGGTTTCCAGAGACTAGAGAGAGTAGGTAATGGGGAGAGATTTCTTAATGGGTACGGGGTATTCTCCTGCAGTGATGAGAGAGTTTTGAAAGCAGAGAGAGGTGGTGACTGCACAGCACTGTGAGTGCACGAAATGTCACTGAACTGCACACCTTGAAGTGGCTAGTCACATGATATGTGAGTTTCACCTTCAATCTCACCTCACAGTAGGTAGCGAAATTGTACCTTGCTGCAAACCAATCCCATTCCTAGAGAGACATTTTCAAGGGATACACCTACACAAGGACCCACAGTAAACACATTACAGGGTCCCTATGATGAAGAGGGAAGAGAGGTTAGGAAATAAAGGAAACGAAACTGCACTAAGAGAAACTAAAGAGAAGGCCTTGAAGAGACTAATGAGGAAAAAGCCACGACCTAAGGAGGAAAATAAAAAAAATTTCCATTACCTAAGGCCCTGTCACCAACCTAAATATTTTATGGTCATTACATTTTTAAAAACACCAGATTTAAAAATGTTACGCATGAGAGAATTATAAATAAATGATAGTATAGTCATGTGTACAGAATACAGTCACTGAAATCACACTGTAAGAAAATTTTAATGACATGGGGTTAATTCGCAGTGTACGGTATTAGGTGCAAATGCCAACATTAATAAAATTGAGGTAATTTATACGCAGTACTATCTCAATTATTTTAAAATATATTTTGTGTAGGAAAAATAATCAAAGGGAATACAGCAATGTTTGTAGTCATTCTCTGTAGGTGGTTATTAATTCTTTATGTTTTTGCATTTTCCCCAAGTTTCTCACAATTGTACATACTTCTTATGTAATTTAAAAAATGTTTTTAATAGGGGCGCCTGGGTGGCGCAGTCGGTTAAGCGTCCGACTTCAGCCAGGTCACGATCTCGCGGTCCGTGGGTTCGAGCCCCGCGTCGGGCTCTGGGCTGATGGCTCAGAGCCTGGAGCCTGTTTCCGATTCTGTGTCTCCCTCTCTCTCTGCCCCTCCCCCGTTCATGCTGTGTCTCTCTCTGTCCCAAAAATAAATAAATGTTGAAAAAAAAAATTAAAAAAAAATGTTTTTAATAAAACAAATTCCTGCCCACAGGGCTATTGTGAGGACGAATGAGACAATTCAACTAAAAGTGCTGTAGCCAGTAGCTGACTCATGTTTAGTATTTCCTAAATATTATTACTACTGTCATAGCTCACCTCTTATTAATGACAATAATTGGTTAAGAACTAATTCAGACTTGTTGACAGGGAGGTAAAAAAAGAGAATAGAACAAAGGCTATGAACCGCCACAGGCACAATTTTGAAGCAGGGAATTGCACACTAACTGAAAAAAAAAAATCCACAAAACTGAGAACTTGACTTTCTAAAACTTTTGGAATATACTGCCAACGGGTCTTTAAATAAGAGAACTGAAGTACACGTTATTTATTGGAATCTAACTTTATATTAAGTAAAATATCACTCAGCCATCAAAAAGAACGAAGCCTTGCCATTTGCAATGACGTGGATGGAGCCAGAATGTATTCTGCTAAGCGAAATGAGTCAATCAGAGAAAGACAAATACCATGGGATTTCACTCATATGTGGAATTTAAGAAACAAAACAGATGAACATATGGGAAGGGGGGGGGAAGAGAAGAGAGGGAAACAAACGACAAGAGACTCTTAATGAAAGAAAACGAACTGACAGTTGATGGAGGGAGGTGGGTGGGGGTGGGCTAGATGGGAGATGGGTATTTCTTTTTAAATTTTTTTTTTTAACGTTTATTCATTTTTTGAGAGACAGAGAGAGACAGAGTGTGAGTGGGGAAGGGGCAGAGAGAGAGACAGAGAATCCGAAGCAGGCTGCAGGCTCCAGGCTCCGACAGCACAGAGCCCGACTTGGGGCTCAAACCCACAAACCGTGGGATCTTCACCTGAGCCAAAGTCAGATGCCCAACTGACTGAGCCACCCAGGCGCCCTGATGGGGGATGGGTATTAAGGAGGACACGTGTTGTGATGAGCACTGGGGTATTGTATGTAAGTGATGAATCACTGAATTCTACTCCTGAAACCAATGTTGCACTGTACGTTAACTACAATTTAAGTTAAAAAAAAATACATATATCATGAAAAAGTGGGAGTTATTCTAGGAATTCAAGGACAATTTAACATTAGCAAATCTATCAACATAACTTATTACATTAACCAATTAAAACATAACAAAATAGATTCTAAAAAATCCTACAATAGATTCTAAAAAATTACTTCATAAACCCCCAAAAGTCAAAAACCAAAGTATAATGAGAATGGAAGAAGATTTCCAAAGTATGAAAGAGTATCCATCATCCACCAAGAGCAAATACCATATTAAATGTAGAAATATTAACTGCATTTCAGATAAAGTAAGGAATAAGATACTATTATGGTTAACGTTGTTTTGGAGGGTTAATCAATGCAATAAGAGTATAAACTATATAAATAATACAAAAGAGACAAAATTATATTCACTGAAGATGATTCAATTGATCATCTATAAAAACAATTACAACTTACCATTACCAGTCCATGAAGGTGACTAAATACAAAATAAATATACAATTCGCTACATTTATTTTACACTAGTAATTACTAGTTTGAGATTCAAATGAAAAAAATAAGTCCCATTTACTACAATGATTCCTAATTACAAGATTCCCAGCAATAAATTTATTTTATTTTATTTTATTTATTTATTTATTTATTTATTTATTTATTTATTTTTTTAATGTTTATTTATTTTTGAGACAGAGAGACCGAGCATGAATGGGGGAGGGTCAGAGAGAGAGAGAGAGACACAGAATCCGAAACAGGCTCCAGGCTCTGAGCTGTCAGCACAGAGCCCGACGCGGGGCTTGAACTCACAAACCGCAAGATCATGACCTGAGCCGAAGTCGGATGCTCAACCGACTGAGCCACCCAGGCGCCCCGCAATAAATTTATTAAAAAAAAAAAAATTTTTTTTTTCAACGTTTATTTATTTTTGGGACAGAGAGAGACAGCGCATGAACGGGGGAGGGGCAGAGAGAGAGGGAGACACAGAACCGGAAACAGGCTCCAGGCTCTGAGCCATCAGCCCAGAGCCCGACGCGGGGCTCGAACTCCCGGACCGTGAGATCGTGACCTGGCTGAAGTCGGACGCTTAACCGACTGCGCCACCCAGGCGCCCCCCCAGCAATAAATTTAATAAGAATATACTTATATAAATAGGATATAAAATGTTCCTGAAGTATAAAGATCTGAAGAAATAGAGAAACATTTGGTTAGTACACAATTTACCTGTGAAATGGATTCGCTTTCTTTAGTTGATAGGAAGTCTTCAATTGGTAATAGTGTTAATGCTCTTTCTAAAATTCTTCTGACTGTTGATTTTCCTCCACCCGTTGGGCCTACTAACATCACACCAACACAAGTCTAAAACAAAATTGCAAATTTATGATTTAATTTTGGTTTACTGATGGTTCAGCTAAATTAAAATCTGAAGGTTCTTAATTACAAATACATCTTGATATCCACAAACCCTTCCTTCAAATTATTGTTCAATCTCTTGTAATCTGTGTTCTGTTTTCATTGACTAGGTTAATGTCAAAATGTACAGAGATCTCCTAATTTTCAAATTCAAAGCATAACTGTCAATTCTTATTTTTGACACTTTGTCTCACTTTCCTATTCTCCTTTATTTCTGTACCTTTCTCGAAGATTGGTTTCTGTAATATGTTTTCTCTCAGCTTTCCTCTTCTGAATTTTTTTCTCTTTTGAGTTTTGAATGCCATTTCCGTGTTAGTCTTCCCTAATTCATCCTTCTCCCTCTCCCTCTCCCTCTCCCTCTCTCTCTCTCTCTCTCTCTCTCCCCTACATTGGCCCTATCCTGTCTCATCAACTTGAATATCTCTAACTACAACCTGAGTTCTAATGACTTCCTAGTGTACGCATTTCTTCCAGTCTCTGGTTCTGTGTGCCTGAGTGAAATTTTGGTAGTTTACTGTATATTTCCATCTGGATATCTCACAAGATTTTCAGAGTCAACATAATCTACTCTACACCTTCTTTTCACACTTGTCACTTCTCTTATTTCCTGATCTAGTAAATAAAATCACTAGCTGTACATTGTCCAAAGTCCCTCAGCTCTTATAAAATCTGCTTGATTCCATCTTCTCCAACCCAATCACAATCGCTGTTATAGAGTGAAAGTCTGTGAATGTCTGTGTCTCCCTAAAATTCAAATGTTGAAGCCCACACCCAATGTGATAATGTTGGAAGTGGGGCCTCTGGTAGGTAATTAGGTTTAGATGACGTCATGAGGGTGGGTCTGTGATGGGATTAGTGTCCTTAGAAAGAGAAGCAGAGAGACCAGTTCCGTATCTCTCCACTATGTGAGGACGCAGTGAGAAGGTGGCCACCTGCAAGCCAGAAGAGGGCTCTCACCAGAAACCAAACCTGCTAACACTTCTATCTTAAACTTTCCAGCCCCTAGAACTGTGAGAAATAAATGTGGCTTAAACCGCCCGGTCTATGGTATTTTGTCATATCCTCCCAGATGGACTAAGCCAAGGGGGAAAGGGTCAGATGGTGAAGCTCGCCCTCTTCTAGACTACTGTAATAGTAGTAAAGGAAGGATTATTTTTAATAATGCATCACACACATACATTAAAATTCAAATATGGATGAAGCTAAAACATTTTTTCCCTTCCATTCCAATCTCTTTGTCCTCATGGAGGAAAATAAATACCAGACCACTTAAAAATGGAAAGTGCAAATATCAGAAACTTTTAGAAAAAATTATAGAAAATATCTTTATGAAATAGGATAGAAAAGATTTCTAAAAATTCAGAAAAACACAAACCATAACAACAAATCAATAGACTTTACTGCATTAACAACAACGTCTCCTGGACAACTGAACTCTAGGAACACTTCTGAAAACCCAAGACTTTGAGAATTTATTTGCAACACATATAAACAATTAAGAAATAGGATATAAAATGCATAATGAAAAGCCTACACGTTTGGTAAGAAAAAGACAAAAAACTCAACCGAGAAATGAGTACATTACATAACCTGGCAAGTCACAGGACACTCAAATGGCAAGTAAATATAGACAAAGGCATACAGTTTTACGAGTCATCGATGAAATGCATCACCGTTTCCAAATGGTTCATTCACAGGGATAGGAAATTCAAAGAAGGTGTAGTTATGGAAGGCCACATTTATACCACATTTGTGGGGTTTTTTACAATTATGTATTAAGGGGATGAAGGTGAAGAAAATGAATCTGTTCAAAGTTAAAGTGAGGGCTGAATAGCCACACGTGGGTAAATAAATGAGTAAGCCACTTTACTCTGAAGAACATTAGACTAGTTCTCTTTTATCGTTATCCTGGTTTTCTCCTTGATCAGACCTATTATAATTCAGGAGCAAAGAAGTGCCAACATGCCATTCTACACTTACCTGAAGTTGATTATAAAACTGTATGGTTTTCTTGTTCTGAGCTGGCCACTGATGGAAACCCAACTGTTGTGTTGCAATAGATACTACTTTCTAAAAGGAAATAAATACGTTTAAAATGCATTGCAAATTGAACCCTTAATACATAATCCTATAAAATCTCTCTTAACCAGGTACTGAATACTGCACTTTAAGATAGTAGTTCTTAATTTCTTAGTTCCTCAACCTGATTATTACTTTCCCCCCAAACTACGATACACACAAAATTTTATGTTGACAGATCCCTGGTAGCAGATTCATAGACCTTCCCTCAATTTAGGAATTTATTCTTTTTTTTTTTTTTTTAATTTTTTTTTTCAACATTTATTTATTTTTGGGACAGAGAGAGACAGAGCATGAACGGGGGAGGGGCAGAGAGAGAGGGAGACACAGAATCGGCTCTGAGCCATCAGCCCAGAGCCCGACGCGGGGCTCGAACTCACAGAGCGCGAGATCGTGACCTGGCTGAAGTCGGACGCTTAACCGACTGCGCCACCCAGGCGCCCCAGGAATTTATTCTTTAGGATGTATTTAATAACTATCTGTTACCATAGTACGATTGTCTAATTATCCTACACTAAAAGAAAATTTAAGAGTCTCTATCTTTGTGTAATTCCAATCACCATTAAGGTAGATTTTCAGCTCTGTAACAAGTATTTTAATGTTTCCGTGTTCAGAATATTCTAGGATAGTAAGTACAATTTGTTAAGATTGAAGACTTGATGTGGTTATATATTAAAACATCCAGAAGTGGCTGCAGCTTGGAAAGATGCTTAATAACACAGGAATTATGAGGGCAGCCAGGTTTCCTTCCACAGTGGGGTCAATACTATTGGTAATTGTCGACAGAAAAAAGCGGGATTTATCCTTTTTCTCACCGACCTCTCCCAGTCCATTTCCCATTCCTTGCATTCCCACAGTGGGACAAGGGAGCAGCTGAAGGAGACCCAGAACACTCAGCAGGGGCTGTACAGTTAGAGAAAAAGTAGTTCCTGTGGCAAGGCCCCTGGGGGTAGGAAATCAGCTGAGAGCAATCTCATTTAAGTGGAGTTGATGAGACACCCACTTAAGGCGTGTACTTGGAGCGGTTTTAGATGCAGGGGCTAGGAGTCCTCTGCCACGGATAATACAAACCTAGACATCTCCCTGGATGTAAGCAAACAGGCCCGCAGGAGTGGACTAGGGATAGCATGGCTAGCACAGAAGATCAGCAGAAATGGGACAGTCAAAGAAGAGATATTTAGACAGGTAATCCTAGTTGGCTGAAGGTTTTCACAGAAGGTTTTAACATAAAATCATAACCGTACTGTCAAGTATTTATGGCTGTAAACGATGTTCCGTAGAGTCAACCGGATGACAAACTATATATAGTTTATTGCAGGATATGGTTTCAGTAATTCTCTGTTAATCCCTTGGTTGCTCTGAGTTAATGACCCTCCCCCACCCACACTGTTAGATACTGTCAGCGACAGAACCGTGAACAAGTTGGATATATTCCAATCGCCCATCGCATGCAATTCGGATTCTTGTATCTCAAATGAACAAGAAGTATAAACAGCATGCCTACAGAATATTTATTTAGTAACATATACTCCTGTGTGGATATGCTATATGACCGATCATTGTGTAAACCATCAAAAATACACCATTAAATAAAAGACTGGATTATTCGAAATTTAATATTAAAATGATAACTTTAAATCGTGATCTTTGTGCTATTTCTTGAGCCATATATTGCTATTTGGTAACATTTTATTTAACAGTTTGTTTATTTATTTATTTATTTGTTTATTTATTTATTTATTTAACAGTTGAGAGCCTGCATATTTAGCAATATAAAAATTGTATGAAGGGGAAAGTAGCAGAATACACGGATAGGTTTTACAGAAAACTTTTCTATAAGCCCAGGCTGCAAAAAACTGTAAAACTGATGAAAACGTGAATATATAATGAAGTTAAAAAGTCACATCATCGATGTGCATGTAGAAATGCTACTATGATGGCCACGCTATTTGTTTTAGCTGTGACTTGAGAAATGTTAAGGGTAACACATAACTGGACGAAGGAGAGGAAGGAATCTGTGGGTCCTGTCGGGTTGGGACGAAAAATGCTTCGATAAGACCGAGAAAGCAAAGACTTGTCAACTAACGTCTTCCTTCCTTTGTTCCAGCAAAGTGAAAATTCTCAAAATGTAAATGTAGATATTCAAAATACAGGCAATAGCTTAGGTGCAAATATCCACTGTGCTTCCCCTGGAAACCACGCAGAGCACCACAGAGAGATATACATAGAATTGATATCAAACTGCATTTTTATTAAAATAAGAACACAAAAAAATACGTGCAAGATCTAAAACTCCTGTAAGTGCTGTGAGAATAGGTAAGCTTATTCAGCTTACTTAGCTTAGCGTCTGAACCTACAATTTGGTGGTCTGGAAAAGTCCAACTCGTTTAATCATGCGGAAGAGAGAATCTGACAGGGTAAGTCTCCTTGCTATCAACTTAGAGAACTAAAAATAATGATTACATATTAAAAGGGTTAACAGAATATGAAACTTCCTAACTAGAGAATTTAAAGTGAGGTTTAGAATATCAAAGACAAAATGAAAGTTTTAAAAACTCCCAGAGAGACTTCCAGGGAAGTTGGCAGAGCAGGAGGACCCTGGGCTCACCTCATCCCTCGGATACAATGGCTACAAGGAGACAGCACTAACATCCGTGTAAATGACCCAGAAAATGACCTGCCGGCAGGACAGACTCCCCACAGCTAAACGGAGACCAGAGGCCACATTGAAGAGCGCAGGAAGGGCAGAGATGGAGTTGGGAACCAAACTGACCTGTGACACTGTCCATGGGAGGGAGGGACCTGTGGGCATGGAGGGAGAAGAGGAGCAGACCCCACCCCGGGCACCCCAGACATAGGGGTGCTGCACGGGGAAGACAAATCCCCGTAACATTTGGCTTTGAAAACCAGAGGGGCCTAACTTCAAGAGTTCTTACTATCAGTGGGGCTTAACACCTGGAACTTTAAATGTCAGCAGCTCGGAGAGGAAGTTGACTCCTTGCCCTTAAAGACACAGCACAACAAACGGCCCCTCTGAGACACAGCAAAAAAAAAAAGCAGCAGTTTGAAAAACACGTGGGGTACACGGGAAGAGGCTTACTTGCTCGTCTCGCAACGCGTGCTAGAGGAGCGGGGATCTTCGGAGACTTGTCCGACAACAAAGGAGCTGGTGGGCACCATTTCCCTCCCTCGTCCCCTGGCCTAGGTACACAGACACCTGCAGGAACCGGTGCAGGGGGACACTCTCCAGCCGGCCTGCTAACAGTGTGCTCCACCCCGTGTTCTCCTGCAGACACGCCACCTCCGGCCAGGCCTCGGCTCCGGGTCCCACACGCACCCACGCAAACCTTGCTAACGCCTCCCACCCCGCCCCTGCACCTTCTCCTGCAGACCTGCCCCCTCCAACACACCCTCGGCAGAAGCCTATCCAATGTGGGACCACAAGCATGGCAGGGTACAAACAGTTCCAACAGCGACCAGCACCACTCTGAAGTGACTCCTGCCCCAGGGAAAGGGTAGGATAACCACACGTATGAGTTTGACTCTGGCCCCACCCAACACAGGGAATATGTCCTGTAGTCTGACGCCACCAAAGCTCTGGCAAATGCCAGGCCTGGCCCGACTTGAGCCCAGGGGGCCCCAGACTGGCCCACTAACAACACAAGGACCTTGCCCACAAGAGGCAAAGGGAGACACGGCAGACGACTGGACTGAAGGCAAAGGCGGCTGAGCCACAACGGTAGGACACACGCATCACACAAAGGAGACGCCCCTGAAGTGCCAAGTTCTAGCGAACAGAACAGAGGGCACCATAGGTCTTCTTTGTAAGACCACTGCTTTCAAGAGCAAGAGACGTAGATGACTTTCCCAACAACGTAAAAATGGACACAGAGAGACAAAATGAGACAGGGGCATATGTTCTAACTGAAGGGACAGGAAAAAAATTCACATCAAGAGATCTAAACAAAACAAAGGTAAGTCATATGCCTGATGGAGGATCTAAAGTAACAGTCATTAGATACTCACTGGACTTGAGAAGAGGGTGGAGGACCTCAGTGAGACCATCACAGAGAGAAAACAAAAAAAGAACCCATCAGAGATGAAGAACTCAATAACTGACATTTAAAATACACAAGAGGGAATCAACAGCAGACTAGAGGAAGCAGAAGAATGGATCAGCAACTTGGAGGACAGAGTAATGGAAAGCAATCGAGCTGAACGGAGAGCAAAAAGGGAATAATAAAGACTGAGAACAGGTTAAGAGAATTCAGCAACACCTTCAAGTGTAATAACATTCGCATTATAGGGATCCGAAAAGGAGAAGAGAGAAAAAAGGGGGCAGAACATTTATTTGAAGAAATAATGCCAAAAACTTCCCAAATCTGGGGAAAGAAACAGAAATCCAGATCTAGGAGGCACAGAGAACCCCCCAAAAAATCAACCCAAGGAGGTCCACAAAAAGACACATAGCAATTAAAATGGCAAAAAGTGGTGATAAAGAGAGAATTTTAAAAGCAGCAAGAGAAAAGAAAACAGTTACATACAAGAGAAACCCCATATGGTATCAGCTGATTGTTCAGCAGAAACTTGGCAGGTCAGAGGGAGCAGAATGGTATATTCAAGGTGCTTAAAGGAAAACACCTACAGCCAAGAACACTCTATTCAGCAAGGCTGTCCTTCAGAACAGAAGGAGAGACAGAGTTTCCCAGACAAATTTCAAGGAATTCATGACCACCAAACAGCCCTATAAGAAATGATACAGGAGATTCTTTGAGTGAAAAGGAAAGATCATAAGCAGAAGAATAGCAGGAAGCATAAAAGAGGTAAAACTACATGTATCCGTAAAAACCAGCCAAGGGATTCACAAAATAAAGGGATATACAGTATGACACCGTATACCTAAAATGTGGGGGCGAGAGGGGGATTTAAGAATGCACTCAAGGGGCACGTGGGTGGCTCAGTCAATTGAGCGTCTGACTTTGGCTCAGGTC